GGTTTCATAATGTAGGTGTGCGGCAATCATTTGTTTCAGACTTGTGATTGGCTCAAAATAGAAATCACTCATATTAATACTGTTAGCGTGATAGTGATTTGAATCTTGAGTATTACTGCCCAAGCACAGCTTTGTGGTTTTGTGGAGAGGAGTAATTAGGGATATCATTGACAGCCTGAACTGAACAAGTTGAATAGCAAATGTGGCTCCCATTTTCTACAGCAGTTAAATGAGGATAAGCAAAATAGTACCTCATAACACTGTGAGGATGATTTCATCTGAATATGTAAAGTACTTAGCACAGTGCCTATCATGTAGTAAATACTCAACAAACCTTGACCACTGAGGAAAGAAGAACAAAGAACAAGCAGTCCCTGACATCCAGGAACTGTCCAGGCATTCACAGCTGGGCCTGGCTGTTCTCCTATTGACCATAAGCAATGTCACAGAATATCATACAAAACCACTTTGTGACTGTGATGGATCAAAACAAAAACAAGATCATTCTATAATCATGCCTGAACAAAAAACAAAACACAGCTTCTGTCCAAACCTCAAAACTCAAAGCAGTTCCTTCTCCAGGCAATTATGAATGACAGCTGCTGATTCTTTACCAATTGCAGTTTCAGTACCAATCTCATCTTCCCTCCCTCTAGACAAGAACCAAGTATTTGACTCCCTGACAGCTTCTCCCAATCTAGGGCAAAAACCTGTTTCCTTAACCCCTGCCCCAAATCACCTATCACAAGCCCAAGTCCTCGAGTAAGTTTTTTCTAACCCTCCCACACCTCCCACAGTGTGCCTTCTCACTGGCTAAAATGAACTATAAACCCAATTCCTTCAACTCAAGCTCAACAAAGGTGCTCCTGATTGGGCTGGAGGATTTTACTACTATTACTCTGTAACCCTTTCTTCATAATAGTACCTTGAACTTACATCCCTATATCACTTGTAAAATTAAGAGTGGGAACCAAGAAGCAATGAAGGTCATTCCTACTTGACTTGAGAAGCACCAAGTATCAAGACTCACTGACACTTTTGCAACAAGATATTCCAACTTTTTATCAGAATGTTCATTAACCACAAAACACATTCTTAGAATGTAGATCTGCTTAATACCAACCCCACAAAAAGTGTCTAATTGTAGTCATAGATTTTTCTAAATTTTATAAATGGGTTGTCCCAGAAATTCACTTAAAGTTTCTAAAATAAAATATACATTGCAATTGAAACCATATCATAAATGGTGATTTAGATCTACCCTTCATTCCCAAAGCCTATTTACTCCTGAATACGTAGCAAATTCCATTTCAAATACACCATCAGTTTTGTTCTGCACATCTATGGAAAAGTGCGTTCTCACTTTGAAGGTCCTTCTCACCAATATTACCCAAACTCGCAGTTTAAGATCACACTACATGCCAATAGCTGAATTGTACCGCTGCAGAGGAGGTGCAATCAGGATGCTTGGTGGCTGCACTGGGGTTTATTATTCCACATAACAAGAAGCCTAGAGTTAGGCAACAGCGTTGGTTAATTCGGTGAGTTAGGGGCTCCACGACGCATTAGTGACCTGGGTGAGTAAGCTTTGTCTGGACTCCCTCATTCTCAGGGAGTCAGTAACGATGACAAGCTCCGTGGTGCAAAGATGGCTGTAGCAATTACCCACACTCCTATGCAGACAATAGTGCCTAAAGAGGAAGGCGAGACTTTAAACCACATCTACTTAGGTTTTTTTTTTTTTTCTGTAGGGGGGTAGGGGGGCGGGAGGAGGGGAGAATTTGTTCCAGAAATAACCTCCTTCATCCGATCTCCCACTATAAAAACTTCTCATTGGCCAGGAGCGATCACATGGTCAGGCCTAACCCAATCACTGCAAAAGGGAAGGGATTGCCGTGATTGGTTTAGACCAGAGTTTCTCAGCCCTGCCTGCATGCTGACGTCACCTGGGAGCTTTGAAAACAAAATTGCACGTCTGGCAACAGTATGTTTTAAAACTTCCCTAGCTGTTATAAATGTATTCAGAAGCGAGTGCTACTGTGTTAGCCTAATCAAGCTTCCTCCAGGCCAGCGCCCTGCTGGGAGGTCTACTCCGAGGGAACGACGACAAGCACCAGAACAAAATGGGCTTGGTGGTCCCAGCTACTCCGTAGGCTGAGACAGGAGGATCACTTGAGCCCAGGAGTTCCAAGCCAGCCTGGGCAACACAGAGAGACCTGTCACAAAAGAAAACAAAACAAAACGGGCTCCACAGCAAACACAGGGAGGAGGCAGGGTCACACCGTGCTATAGCTAAGAGAAAATCATCCCGGGTCGATCACCCACTCAGTGACCTATAATGAGAAGTAAAAAAGGCTTGTCATGAGAGATTGGATGGCTCTCTTAATTGCCTGATCCGTTGCAAAACCTGAAAAATGAGGGAAACACCACGTAAATTTCAGTTCAAGAGCAACTTCCTCTGAAGTTTTTTTCGGACACAGTCCTTCCTCCTAGGGAAAAATAAGGACTTGTGTCTCCTTTACTCCCCACCAGCTTTATCAAGGTAGCATAAGACTCCAGTTTGCTTGCATGCTGCCCTGCCATATCTAGAAACGTGCCGTCTTGGAGGCCAGGACGTATTTTACTTTTCTACTTTGTGTGTCTAGTACCTAGCACTCAGGAGGCCCAATAAATATTTATTGCATGAATGAATGGGGGACCAGGAGAAATGGATGAAAAACCGTTAATAGTAAACATTTATGCAGCACTTATACAGCAGGTACTAAACAAAGTCATGTACACGGAATAGATTTATATACTCCTGCAACAACCCTATGGAGTATGAGCCATTATCTTCATTTTCAACGTAACAAAAATGCATCACAGAGAGACTAAACAACTGTTCAAGGTCACAAGCCAAGGAATGACAACTGTGGGACTGGGTCATAGAGAATGGACTCCAGAGCTCACATATTTTTAACTTCTACACCCAAGAAGGTGGTAGAGATGGGGATCTCAACGTTGCACCTAACCTGGAGGAGGGTTGCAAGGGAGTGTGAGGGGGACTGCCATAGGTAGAATTTGTGGCTTTTAGGCTTTTCCATTCTTGGACTTTTGGGGAGGGGGGAAGCAGGAAGGCACTGATCAATGATGTAAGGATGGAAATGGAGAGAAATGAAAGAAAGCATTCAAAGACCTACCCCTGAAAGGTTAGAGCCTGGAGAACTCTCCCATTCATGGGCAAGAGAAATCAAAAGGTTAACACTTCAGTGTGGTTTACACATGGCATGCAGTAACCTGTACTTCAGAGCTGCCCCTGCCATTTGTGGGGAACAGCACCACCTATTCCCCACATCCCTGGTAAACCACAACCTGGAGAGGATTTGAACTGGAACTGGAACTGACTGTGCTGTATATCTTAGACACAGGTCATTATTTGCCCATCTCCCCTCAAGCTGTCCCTCCTCTCCCTAGCCCTTATCTGGCCAGTGGAGCTATCACTCACCCAGCTCCTTATGCCAGAAAACTTGGAGGTCTCCCAAGATTCCTCCTCCCCTCCCCTCCTTCATATCCAATTGGCCACTGAGTTTTATGGATTTGATTTCATAAATCTGCAATCTGTTCATTCATTCATTAAATATTTATTGTGTGCTAGGAGTATACAATGATGAACTGGATGAGACACCCCCCACCCCCAGCTTCAAGGAGCTTACCATCTTAATGAGGGCATCTTCAACTGAACAACCCATTCTACAGCAAAGCAGTAAATGCAAGACAAGGGTAAGTGGAGGGCTGGGAGGGAGTCTTGGAGGGGTATGTGATTCCTCTCGGGAAGCCTGAGGGGATTTTCTCTTGGCAACGTCCTAGCTGCAATATGAAGGATGCGTGCCAGGAACCTGGTGAAGGAGGAGTGGGGAGGGGGAGGCAAGTGCAAATTTCTGGAGGCAAGAACAGAGTAGTGTAGGAAGCCCAAGCCCGGCAGTTCACTAGGACTGCAGAAATTTGCCTCAATGCCGCTATCCAACCCAGGCTCAATCCAGTAACTACACTGCCTAAGGGCTTTCCACTCCTCAAAAAGAAACCATCCAGCACCGTCCTCCTTGTCTCTGGAGGTCTGCCCTTCAACTCTCCCGTCCCTTGCCACTCGTTCATCGAATATTTACTGAGGACCCCCTCTGTGCAGGTACCGTGTAAACAGCGGCCTCAACGGTGCTTCCAGTCTTCAGGGAGTTTTTGATCTACTGAAGACATACCATAAGGGAGCAATTCCGGGAGTGATGGAAGCTGACACCTAAGATGTTAACGACCCTTTAAGGACCCATCTGCTTCGCTGCCCACTGCTCACCCCGTCACTTGGGGGCTCCGGGCCTGCCACCTGCTTGTCCTCTCGGAAGGATGACCAAGTGTTCTATTCACTGCCAGGAATGTCCTCCTCCCCTCGCCCAAGGCCACTGCCCATCTCGAGCCAGCTCCAGCACAGCGTCCTTCTTGCGTGGCCACACTCAACGGCGTGCGGCTCTGTCAAGGGGGCTGACGTGCGCGCTCGCGGCCAGCCAGCTCCTGGGGGCAGACGCCATACAGCCTCCCCGCTGCCTGGTGCCCACCCCAGACCGGCTCTCTCCCTAAGCGACCCCCGCGCCCCGGCTGGAGAGCGCGGGCCCGGGGTGACGGCCCCGCGCACACGTGGGCGCAGCCTGGAGGCCGCTGGGACCCTTTCCCATGGGGGTGAGAGGGGACGTTCTGCTGGAAGACCTCGGCCAGGGGGTCGCGCCCCCCGCCCGCACCCCTCCCGGAGCCCCAGAGGGGACAGGCGAGGGCGCGCCCAGCCGGGGACGCGCGCTCCCGGTGTCTCCGAGGTCCTTGCAGTGGCGCGGGTGGCCGAAGGAGGGGCCGAGGGCGGGGCGGCCACAGCCTCCGCCATTCCGGCCCCCCCGGTCGCGGAGCGCCGCCTCCCCGCCCACCCTCCCCCACCGCGCGCGCTCCGCCCGCCCCGGAGCCTCGCCCTCCGCCACGATGAGCAAATGAGCGCGAGCGAGGGCATGAAATTTAAATTCCACTCAGGGGAGAAAGTGCTGTGCTTCGAGCCTGACCCACCAAGGCGCGAGTGCTGTACGATGCCAAGGTGCGCCGCGGGGACAGGGAGAGGCGCGGGCCGGGGGCCCGGGGACGGGAGGCAGGGGCGGGGGCGGACAGCGGCGTGGAGCCGATGGAGCGGCCGGGCACCTCGGCCTGCGCAGCAGCTCGGGCAGCAGGGGGCACTCGCCGGGCACCGCGCGCGGGACTCGGGGCCGGGATGCTTCCGTTTCCGGATGTGGTGTTCTGCGCTGCGCACGCGCGATCGCAAGGCCGGAGAGGCTGTTTAAGCTTGCAGCGCCAACTGGGTGACCAGTATAGGTGGACTGTCACCAAGCCTTTGCGGTAAATTTCTAATCCTGTGCGGCCCAGAGCCACGTGGACTCTCCCGGTCTGACACAGGTCTTACTCCCTAGGTCCACGGCGCTGTCCGCCAACTTACGATGTCGCTCTCCCTGGACCCTAGGAGTTGGGGTCGATCCCTCCTGTACGCTGTAACCCCCACCCTAAGACTAAGGTTGGCCCAGTGCCTTGGGGCCTCAAGGTCTTGCAGCATTCACTTTCCAATTCTTGAAAGATTTGTGTAGGCCTGACAGTGTTTGGGAAGAATCGAGCCTATCCACCTAAGTCTGTAGGGGCAGAGCCACATCTTGTAGTTCCTCAGGGCGGGGTGGTGGGCTGGAGTGGGCACCGAAGTACTTCTGGACCCCAAGGGAAGTGTATTTCAGTGCTCTAGGGAGCGGGAGGGGGTAGGGGTTGGCCCCGATCGGTCCCTAGGACCACCGGGGCGAACCGTTTGGTGATAGGGCCCGGGACAGCGCCATGTGCGTCTTCAGCAATGCTTGGGCGGCACCGTCCGATGGAGACACCCCAAGGTCTCTGGGCTATTCTACCCTTGGCCCCTCTCTTTCGGAATCCCTTTGCTGTCCTTCCTCCTGCTCCGCCCCGCTCCTGAGCCCCTGGGAGGGGGGGTACACGCCCCATCATTTGCCCCATTTGTTCCCCAACAGAGGGAGGAGTGTAAAAGTCTCAAGACAGCCCATCAGGGCACTGGACGCAGCAGAGCCCTGGAGACTACAACTCCCAGAGGTCTCAGGGCTACAGCTCTCTTGTCTGATCTGGACTGTCATTAGTGACAAATCCGCTGGCCAATGGCTTCAGAAGCTTCACCCTGTCTCAAACTCAGAGACCAATCACGGGGTGGTTGGACGGATGTTTCCTATTTTGGGGCATCCACTCAGGGAAAAAAATGGTATTGAAAGAAAAAATGTTTCAACCCAGCTCTCGATCTAAAGGAGAGAAAGCTTTCTTTTCTTTTGAAAAGGGAGTATGATCTAGTTTTCCTGATCTAACTTCTAATTGTCTGTGTGTACTGCCACTTGTGAGCAATATTTCCTGGTTTCAGATTGTCGATGTTATTGTTGGGAAAGACGAAAAAGGCAGAAAGATCCCAGAATATCTGATACATTTTAATGGTTGGAACAGAAGGTAAGTGTACTTCCTAAACCAGATTGAGTATTGATCGTCTTTGCAGCACAAAGAGCATTGCAAACTTCTTTTAAGTTGTAGAAACACTTGTAGGAAAGTTTCAGTTCCTGGTTTTGCTTTGTTCTTAAAGCTTGCCTGTTCTGAGGCATGGTTACTTTTAAGTCCGTTATATTTGGATTATCTGTGAGTGATTCTGTAAACCCGTTTCTGTGTCTGCCTGAATTAGTTTTTCAGTTTATTTGCATCCTCTTTGTAATTTTAAACTTTTTATATAGTTTTTTTTTTAATGTCAGTAATTCTGGGGCACTTCTTTCTTTGAGGTACTTTTAGCATTTGTGTCATATCTAACTAAAATACTGAATTTTACATTTTCTTCCTTCTTTTTTCAATTAGCTGGGATAGATGGGCAGCAGAAGATCATGTGCTCCGTGATACAGATGAAAATCGTAGATTGCAGCGTAAATTGGCAAGAAAAGCAGTAGCTCGCCTGTAAGAATACAAAGATAATGATATAAATGTTACTGTGTTTTCTTTTAGTTGGGTTTTTATGGTATAAAAATAACAAAGAGATACATTTTGTTTATTAAATAATTTTACATATTGCAAGTATGTAACTGAATAGCCCTTACAGTATTCTAAATAGCTGAATTTATTGTGTTTTCAGATGGTGGTTGTTTAATACTCTGAAGTGAAGATTGCCATTTATGTTCTAAAGGTCATTTTTCCAATTCAAGAATTATTATTTATTATATGTTGGGGGGTTTTTTGGCAGTACTGGGGTTTGAACTCAGGGCCTCACACTTGCTGGCAGGTGCTCTTAATTCTTGAGCCACTTTCCAGCCCTATAATATCTTGTTTTGATCCCAAGATGCATACCAGTTGGTGTCAAATTTTATTTAATTTGTGTTCATCTTTTTCAGAAGAAGCACAGGGAGAAAGAAAAAGCGCTGCAGGCTACCCGGCGTTGACTCTGTCTTAAAAAGCCTCCCTGTTGAAGAAAAAGATGAAAATGATGAAAATTGTAAGGCTTGACTTCATTTTCTTTGGCTAAATGAACTTTCACTTAGTCTTTTTATACTTCAGGACTGACCGAGGGGAAGAGTCATTGAAATTATAGACAGGGAAACTTTGCAAACTCATTATGTACAAATAGTCACCATCTTAGGATTTTTTGGCTTTGCAGTGGGGCATGAAAGCATACCCATATAACTGTTCTATTTTTTTACTTTTAGTATAGTATTCAATAAAGTACATGAGATATTAATACTATTATAATGTAGGCTTTGTGCTAGACGAATTTGCCCAGTCATAGGCTAATGTAAGTGTTCTGAGCATGTGTAAGGTAGTCAGCCATGATGTTTGGTACATCAGGTATATTCAGCACATTTGCACTTATCAGATTTTCAACATATGATATGCTTGCTGGATGTAACCCTATTGTAAGTCAAGGTGTAGCTATATAACTTATGCCCCTTTTATTTTTGACAGTTAAAGTAGCAGTCAATACAATGAGTCAGTGAGTATAAGACTTTATCAAAATTATACTTGTGACCACCACCCAGTCATTCAGCAGGGCCCTCACTGATCTTTAGTCATGTCCATTCTCTTCTTCCTACCTCCTGGGCCTTGTCACTACATTAAGAATCCAACAGAGAACCACAGAATCCTAGCTAACAAAACACTTGCAGATCATTAGCTGTGTGATTTTTGTATCCATTGAAATTAGAGTTATATTTTTCAAACATTTTCTATCAGAAAGGCATAGTATTGTGTTAGGATTTAAAATATATGGAGGACTATAGGTAAATTTTCTTAGTAGATTGAATGAAGCACCTAAAGATTAATAAACATAAAGGGTTGGGTAAATATATAGTTTGCCTAATATTTTTATTTCACTTAGCAATAAGCAGTTCCTCTGATGACAGTAGTGAAAAAAAGATGAAGAAATAAGTGAAGAAAGTACATTGAAGAAAAGACTGAAGTGGTATAAAAGTTTTATCATAAAAGTTCTGTCTTTGGTATATATTTTAGTGTAAAAATTTTACAGGTAAAATTCTCCAGTTATGTAATACTTTCTAGCAATACATTTTTACTTGACATTTAAAAAAAAAAAACAGCCCTTGTGTACAGTCATTATATTAGCCTCTCAGTGACTCTATACCCACAAAGTGTTTCTATAAATTATAGTTACCTCTTTTTTCTTCAGTAAAATTATAAACTATATTTTGTAATGATTAATTTTTTGAAAAGTTAAAATAAATTATTTAATTATTTGTTATTGCTGCAATATCACAGACATTAAAAAAGAGAATCATAGAACATATAGGAAAAGGAGATGCAAGAATAATTCAGGACGAGAAAACAGAAGCCCAGTTTCCTCATCTACACAGTTAAGTAGTGGCAGATTCCAGACTAGAACCGAGATTTTAAAATTTCTTTTGTACAACTATCACAAGATATGGTATCATTTGTTTCCCAGAATTAATACATTCTGTGCAAATAGAAAATATCTTAAAATCTTAGAACAAAAGCTTATACTTGATTCATTTTAGAGAAGATGAAAGATGTGTTTTTAGTGGAGCGGGTAGCTTCATTTCTATGATTAATTTTTTAATGGAACATAGCAAGAATTTGGTGGCTTTTGCCTGCCTCCAAATTTAACAAACCTCAGTGGTAAGTGTAAATGGGGAAGAAACAGTAAGGATTTACAACATGGTTAATACCCTAAAATAAGTTCAGTTTGGGCTTTTAACATACTTAGACATGTGGCATAATGTCTCTAAGTCTGTTCTCCAACATAGACTATTTGTGCATGTTGAGGATTAACTGGGCTTCTTTCATAGCAGACTCTCATGTGTTAGCTCATTCTGGGGATATAGATTTCCCACTGCTTTAAATAATTAAAAATGGAATTATGATGTTCAGAAAGAAGAACTAGCTGCATACAAAAAAGGAAATGAAGAAAGAGCAATAACCATAGACATCCCTGAGGTTCTGAAGAAGCAGCTTGAGATGATTGTTATTATATCAACAGGAGAAAACGGGTATGCAGGCAGATTGTGGAAAACACGGATTTGGTACAGTGTTTCATTTAGCCCATTATTTCCAGTCACAGTCTCAAACACTGGAGAAGCTTGGAGGAATGAAACTTATATTTTCAGTTTTGTACTGAGTCAGGCTTTAAAGTTCGCTGACAGTGGTGCTCTGTGCTGCTGTTTAACTTAAAAATTCATGCAGCCCAGGCTGCCCATTCAGACCCTCTAAAGAGCTTTCCAGAATTCTTATTGTGGATTGATCTGTGGTGGGAGCCTTTTGGGTATACTTTGAGAGGCTGCCCAGAGTGTTCTAATGGCATATGAAGATGAGGATCACCGCTTACATATATTCCAAAACAGTCATACTGTAATCAACATGAGAATATGATTAGTAGGAGGAAGAATGACCAAAGAGCTTCATAGCATATATAAGATGTTCTATTCAAGCAGGATTGTCTTTGGTTTTTTTTTTTTGAGTAAGTGATAGAGACACGACTAATTCCTTGGAATGTGTGGTTTATTACAACTGGATGCATACATCAAGATGTGTATATTTTTGTTAACAGTTAGTAAAACTTCCATGCCAGACCAACATCATAACGATTTTGGAATCCTACGTGAAGCATTTTGCTATCAATGCAGCCTTTTCAGCCAGTGAGAGGCCTCGTCACCATCATGCAATGATGCATGCCCACATGAATGTGCATTATATCCAGCAGAAAAGAAGTGATACTGGTGTGTTTCGTGTCGTGTGATTCTCTCTTTGTATATTAGAGTTTAGAACAGGAATAGTTTCCTATATTTAGTTATTTTTGAATTCATAGTTTTGTTAATAACTTGTTGAATAATCAAACTATATCAAAAATTTTAATCACTTTTGTGAAATCTTCAATAACTCTTTGCACATGTGGCCTAGCTTGATAGTACATTGCCTTTGCCCTGAGAGGAATATTTTCCATGACATTACTCAGGGCACAAATTCTCTTCCTCAAGAAGCACCAGAATGACAATGAGAATTGGGTCAAAGCATGTTTACAAAAAGCCTGTTCTAGTTAGAGTAGCTTTCTTTATTATCCTGCCTTGCTCACATTGACTTGGTAGGAATAGGATCAGGGAGCTAGAGTGTTAGAGTTGGAGGGAGTCTATCTGGATTTGTCCACCTATCCATTGCTGGGACTCCTCATGTGGCATTGAACCTATTCATTTGTATTAAATGGGTAAGTTAAAGTTGCTAATGTACTTTTTCTATATTATCGGTGTGTTTCCTCATTTAATTCTTTGTTATTAGCATCTGCAAATTCATTTCATCCTTTATATGTGTAGGTGTAATATATAATGTTGAAGTTTAAAAGCCTGCCTTATTAAAAATACATGCCTTCATTGTGAAATTTTGGAAAGTAGCTATTTCTTTGTTGCATCTCTAATCTCTTTTTAATCCTCCCAGTGTTGACCTTTGTAAGGAGATGGTGGATGGATTAAGAATAACTTTTGATTACACTCTTCCATTGGTTTTGCTCTACCCATATGAACAAGCTCAGTATAAAAAGGTGACCTCGTCTAAATTTTTTCTTCCAATTAAGGAAAGTGCCACAAACACTAATAGGTAAGTTAAATTAGCTTGCACCTTCACCTTCAGATGACAACACTGACAAAGTTAACTCCTTTTTTGAAGACTTGGATCTGATGTGATAGGGCCAATGAGTTTGGAGGAGAAAGATTTAAAAAGCGCCTATACTGTTGGTATCTTTTTCCCCCTGGGTAAACTGAGTCATCATTTGCTTTCTTGTGGCTCTGAAAGATTTACCCAGTAGTCCAGAATAGAGGATTTAGAAGGAATTGTGCCCAGCTGTCTCCATCTTTTGGAAGGCAGTGGGGTGGAGTGAAGAGAGTGTGGGCCTCGAATGGTGTAGATTTAAATTGAGCTCCCTTCTTGCGTGCGTGTGGCTTGGAGAAGTTCCTTCTGAGTCTCTTGTGTTCACATCTGTACAGTGGAATGAAGCATTTGTTTCCCTGATGAGTAGTATTAAGTGAGATTGTTCACAAGGGACCAAGAGCCTTTGACCTTCAATAAAGGTTAGTTTCTCTCTTGCTCTGCTGTGTTAGCACTTTTCTTCCTGAAATGGCACACACACTCCATTCTCTGTACTTTGAGGGGGAAAAAATCTCCTGACCTAAAGTCTTTACCCTTAATCTCTGTAAGGTATGCCATCTCTCACTGTTCTTTTCCTGAGAAAGTAGTCTGTTCTCAAGATTTCCACTCATCCATCTCCTTTAACCATTGACCATCTACCTTCCTCTACAGCTACCCTGCAAAAGTCTTCCTCCAAAGGTGTTAATAACTTCCCACTTACCCTGTGCCATGCTTGCCCCACCCTCTGCTTCATGGCTTCTTGCTCTCTCTCTGCTTCTCCACCAGCTCTCTTTGGTGGCTTTTCTCTCCCCTCCTTTCTGCCTGTCTGTTTCACCCCAGCTGAAGGGCCTGAGAGACTTTCTAGGGGTGGGGAGAAGGTTGTGTTGTGTGTTGTCCACACCTTGAGATTCCCTGTGTCCAGGGTGGGCTCCTGTGCTCATGACTTTTTCAAGTCCTGCCTGCAGTTACATTTTGGTGAGATGATGTAGTATGCTTATCCTCTAGACCAGGGTTTCTCAGCCTCAGCCCTGTGATTTTTGAGCTGGATCATTGTGTCTTGGCAATGTTAGGTGTTGAGCAGCACTCCTGGCCTCCGCCCACTAGAAGGCAGTAGCACATGTTCCCTCAATTGCTACAATTGCCTCCAAGCATTGCCAATTGTCCCCTTAGGGCAAAATTGCTCCCATTTGAGAGCTGTTGTTCTAAGGAAATATAACAGAGATGTTCTAATCTTTAATCCCAGCATGCCTCTGCAGAGTTACGGAGAGAATTGAAATGATTTTTATGAAAGTGTATGTTTAGCGCACTTGGAGGTCCAGATGTCAGCGGATGCTCTAGGAGAGTGGGCTTCCCATTCTGGCTTCCAGAGGCCTCAGGTCTACAGCAGCCACCTGTGACCCTTTTTTTCTTGCCTAGGAGCCAAGAGGAGCTCTCTCCTAGCCCGCCTTTGTTGAATCCATCCACACCACAGTCCACAGAGAGTCAACCAACCTCCGGTGAACCGGCCACCCCCAAGAGACGCAAAGCTGAGCCAGAAGCATTGCAGTCTCTCAGGCGGTCCACACGCCACAGCACTAACTGTGACAGGCTGTCTGAAAGCAGTGCATCACCTCAGCCCAAGCGCCGGCAACAGGACACATCCGCCAGCATGCCCAAGCTATTCCTGCACCTAGAAAAGAGTAGGTTCAGTTCTGGAGTTCTGGGCTGGGGAGGACTGCTGCCACCTTTTGGGTCAGCCTGGGCTAGACCCATGTCAACCCTCATTGAGTGTACATACCGTGACATGACCCGAAGGCTGCTAGACCACCGAAGAGGGAACTGAGCGTAGCACAGCAGCTGGCAGGAGCAGCACAGTGAGGCTGTGGTAGAGGCAGCACTGGGCTCTGTATCTTGACATTGCTTCTTCACCCTCGCCCTCTACCACTTCTTGTGAGCAGATTTATGGGATCCCGTGTTTTTATTTTCTATACTTAGCCTTAATGACGTATTCAGAAGACACAGTTCTAGTGGGTTGTTTACATTTTTGTTCTTATTTTCAAGACATACCTTTTTAAAAAGATCCTTTTGAATAATCAAGCATTAAAACAAAATCAGGTGCTGTTCTTAATAGTTTTATTGAAGTATATGGTCTGCATACCATGAAATCCACCATTTAAAGTGGTTTTTAGTATACTCGGTATTCTGCAACCATCACCAAAATCAGTTCCCTGTATTTTCACCTCCCCCAAAAGAAAGCCTTCATGCATCAGCAGACACTTCTTACTGGCCCCTGCCTGGAGACTCTGGCAGCCACTGATCTGTTTGTGTCTCTAGATTTGACTGTGAGGCATTTCATATGTCCAGGATCATAACAAGTATGCAGGTGGTTAATACATGTTGATAGAATGAAGAGTGGAAAGGTTGAGCTGGGGAGAATAAGAGAATTCTTTTTTTTTTAAAAAGTTCTAAAACATGAAGTACTTTTTCTTTTTTAAATTTGTTTTCTTGTCAGTTTTTATTTATTGAGATTAAATTCACATAAAATTAACCATTTTAAAGTGGACTCCTTCAGTGGTGCTATCTTTTAATAGTTTTATTGAGATATAATCCACATGCCTTGCCCTTCACCCATTTAAAGTGTTCACTTCAGTGGTTTTAGTGTGTTCAGAGTTTCATAAACATTCCACAATCAATTCCAAAGCATTTTCAATACCCTCAAAAGAAACCCCGTGCCCATTCACAGTTCTTCTCTATTTCCCCCCTTTTCAAGCCCCTCATAGTCACTTATCTACCTTCTGTCTCTATCCTGCACATTTCATAAAAATGAGTCATACACTATGTGACCATTTGTGATTGGCTTCTTTCACCTTAGCATAACCTTTTCAAGGTCCGTCCACATTGTAGCATGTATCAGTACTTTATTTTTTTAGCAAATAATATTCCAGGTGCAGTCTTTATATGAGAAATGTCACATTTGTTAAAGACTAGTAATTTCTGAGAATTGACTTTAGATTATGTTCTGTTGTTTATCTTGATGATAGCCTTTAATTCAGTTGTTGTGTACATTACAGGCAAGTAATTGCACCTTTTTCTTTTGAAGAGACACCTGTACACAGCAGATCATCTTCCCCCATTCCTCTGACCCCTAGTAAGGAAGGAACTGCTGTGTTTGCTGGCTTTGAAGGGAGAAGAACTAATGAAATAAATGAGGTAAAGAGTTAAGTGTTTGATGTTTATTCTAGATTCTTGATGTATCATGTTACTATAAGTATTAGCAAAATTATTCATAGGGTTTTGCTTAATAGTGTATTTCTGCTTTCAAAACTGAAGAAATTGTTAAGATTCCAGCTTTACACTTAACAAGCATCTTTTACCATATATATAAGCACAATTATTGAGATATTGGTATTTTCATTTTGTAGAATAAGCATCAATACACCTGTTTTGCCAAGAGCCAGAGAGTAAATATTTTAGGTTTTGTGGGCCACATAATGTCAGGACTAGTTAACTCCCAAAGTAGCTACAGACAATATGTAAATGACTGTTCTGTGTTCCAATAAAACTTTATGTATGGACAATGAAATTTCAATAGCATGATTTTCATGTATTATAAAACAGTCTTTTGTTTTCCAACCATTTAAAAGCATTAAATCCATTCTTAGCTTTTGGACAATATAGAATCAGGCAGTGGTTGTACGAGATGTGAGCAGCAAGCTGTAGTTTGAAAACCCCTGCTTTAGACATCTGATTCTCCTCCATTAACAGTTATCCTAGTAGCCATCCCTTTGAGGGTATCTATATGCGAGCATTGTGCCAGACCCTTGAACTCATTACTTGAATTCCTGAGAACAACCTTCTCACCAGGTGTCCATTTGACAGATGAGGAAACTTTTCATTTTTAACCTGTTTTTAAGGCCATTGCTTAAGTTATATAGCTGGTGAGTGTTTCAGGAATTCAGAAGAGGTCTTAGTCCATTATGATGGGTAGGAATTGTATAAGGGAAGGTGGCTTTAGTAGACAAAGAACATTTAATGGTAGAAATAGGGGTTGGCAAACTTTCTGTAAAGGGTTGGATTGTAAATGTTTTCAGGGTTGCATACCATATCGTCTTTTTTGAGAGTACTCAACTCTGTTGTTACAATTTGAAAGCAACATGGATGTGCCCCCTCACCAGATTCTTTCAGCAAGAAGCTTTCATGTGATTTTTGCATAATATAAAATATTATTCTTTTTATTTATTTTTTTAGCATGAGTGTTGGGCTGGATTTGGCTCATAGGTTATATAGTTGGCTGATCCCTGATATGGAAGCTAGAAGGTCCAATTTGTGGTATGGTAATTGTTGAGGGTAGATCAAGAAATTTCTAGTGTAAGCAGTCCCTGACATTCCTATTTTTCAAACAAGAAGCTCTCTGTCTAGTTTTATTGTTCAGGAGAGAGTCATGTTTCTTCAAAAGAGCATCTGAATATTCAGGCCAGAATCATTTCCACTCTAGTCAGTGGTACTAGTCCGCCATCTAGTGGTAAATGATACAAAAGGATGTTTTCTGGTAAACAGTTGACATTCAGCAGGCTCTCACAAGGACTCAGGAGATTATAGTGAATTCCCACCTCCTTAAGCTCCTCTTTTGCTGTATTTTTAACCAGGGCTTTTTATCCAAATCCCTGAGGCTCTTTCTCCTGATACCTGTTGCTGCTGCATTGTATGGCAGAAGGGTTTGGATGAGCACATCGCTAGTTAAGAACCACATGGGGTTTCTATGCATACTCCATTGAGAATCCCTTCTCTAGAAACCTATTGCTTTCCTCTATAAAACTCATCTTTGATGAATAGGAGACTATGTGCTATATTGAAATGCAGAACTGAGTGAGTGAGGTGGAACTGCTTACTTTTGCACACACTATGTACAACCCATTCCTCTAGTGATTGTAAGTTCTGTCTGTTCCCCCCTGAGTATCACTGTATCGCTGAGTATCAGCTATTCCCAAGCTTCAGTGAGCTGCAGGCACTGGTATAGGTCTGAGATGATGTAAAGATGCCAAAACTACCCCTGCCCTCAGCACAGAAGGGTGGGCTGGGAGGAAAGGGGGCTCTGTGAGAGGTTGGAGCCTTCATCCAGAAGTCCACCATGGTACTTGTGAGCTTCTAGTCTTTCATTTTGTCTAATTGACTTAAGTCAGCATTTCTGGCATTTGGGGGCACCCTTTTGCTTTTTTTCATAGGGAGTTTCCTTCACCATGACTACTTCAGTGTTAAAATGTACATGTCCCAAAAGCCAAAGTGACAGCTCAGTAGACTAGGCTCTGGTTCTCTGATTTGCTAAAGTATTTCTAGGGAAATTCATCAGAGATTTGAAGTACAGCTCTCACTTTTTTTTTGTTTTTCTATACTGAGGCCTCATGCTGGCTAGAGAGATGCTCTACTACTTCAGCTACCCCACCAGCTTTTTTTGTGTTGGTTATTTTTGAGATAGGGACTCACTTTGTGCCCCGGCCAGTCTGGACTGCAGTTCTCTATTTATGCTTCCTTGTGTAGTTGGGATTGCAGGTGTGTGGCGGCACACCCAGCTATTGGTTGAGATGGGGAGGGGGGTGTCTCACTAACTTTTTGACTGAGCTAGACTTGAATCGTGCATGATCCTCCTGATCTCCACTCCCTGAGTAGTTAGGATTATAGGTTTGAGCCACCATACCTGGCCTACAGCTCTTTTAATAAAAGCCCCAAGTCCGCCCATAGTTCTGAAATTCAGAGCAAAAGCAAAGAAACTAATTACCAGGTTGAAAGTCTATTTCCAGTTGATTCAGAGGATTTAAAGATTCAAATTAGTTTTCATAGTGAATGTAACAGCAAGGCATTAGGGGATCTTGAAACAATGGTGGCATTACTCAAAACATCTTTAGGTTGCTTTTTAATGCTTCATTCTCTCTTGAATGCAGCAGAATTTCCAGTAGAGGAGAAAGGGCTAAGTGACCAAAACAGTTATAGTTGAGAATTAAGAAATCAAATATTTCCTTAATCTACTATTAAGTCATTCTGCCCCTCACTTTTATTTTTATAGGCTTGTGTTTATTTTGATGTAATAGTGTATTTTTCCTCTATATGCAATCTACTATCATAAGATTTAGGTGGCTAGAAGTGTCTCCATTAGGAACAATAAAGTCACTCAATTCATGCTGTTTCCAGGTCCTCTCCTGGAAGCTTGTACCTGACAATTACCCTCCTGGTGACCAGCCGCCTCCACCTTCTTTTATTTATGGGGCACAACATTTGCTGCGGTTGTTTGGTAAGAATCCCAGTTTCTACTCTCTTCTTTCCATTTTTCGTTCTGCTTTAGATTGCGTATGTCTTATGGTTTGGGCTATAAGTACTTACCTGATGTGGAAAGTTACTTTCCTTTTTGGGCTCTATAATGATCATCTAAAGGTGCCCTCTGGGAAGAAAAGGCATTGGATAAATCTTAAATTTCTTAAAATTTGTGCTTAGAATATTTGACTAACCTCTATCTTTGTTCAGTAAGAGTATTTGTTTGACAATGTAGATGTTAAAGGAGAAAGAGGGACCTGGATGACCCTGGAGTATGTCTTATGCATTGTCGATTCTGCTGATTATAAATATGTTTGTCTTTATTTTAATCCAGTAAAACTTCCAGAAATCCTTGGAAAGATGTCCTTTTCTGAGAAGAATCTGAAGGCTTTACTGAAGCACTTTGATCTCTTTCTGAGGTACCTTTGTTTGTCAGATCTTACTTCTGCTGCCATATATGTAACTTTTCAAGATTTATCTTTGGCACATGTGGAGACAGCTCTGTGTGTAGTAGAGGTATTACCTAAGTATGATGGGTTCTAACCATAATGGTAAGATAGGAGGTTGGGGGTTATTTCTTCTTTCCCTAATTTCTCCGGTTTCTGAGTCAAGTACTCATTGGATGGAAGTAATTTTTTCTGTCTCAGAGAATCAAGTTGGATAACTTTGTAAATAGAAAATAAATTTTCTCAAGTTGAAGTGCATAACATCGACAATTACTTAATTTTACATTTTCTTATTCAGGAGTAGCTTAAGCATTGGCCTGTTCTTTGTTGCCTGTACATACACTAACTTAAATATTAGCATTTTATCGCTTGGATTTTGGTATTTACTTTAGAGTTAAGATAAATGATTCCTTAGTCTGTGCTGGCATTTGTGAATTCAGAGAAAGGCCTTGACAGCCAGTCATTTTCTTAGCTAATGGAATCATTTGACTTGAGAATCTGCCCCCATCCTCACCCCCCCAAACTTCCCCCCACTGTGGCCCAAATCCAACCTCCCCCTTTCCCATCCAGATGTCTCTTGACCACTTCCTTACCTTAGTTTTCAAGGCTAGTCTTTACCCTGCCTCACGTGGCTCAGCCTAGCTACCTGACCTTATTTCTCCCTTCTCTTTAAAGGCCACCTTTCCCTTCTAGTGAGGCCCCACACTGACTAATATTTGGGGACTTGCCAGAGGGGAACTAACTCCATCCAGAAAAATCAGTCTTGCAGGTTTAAAAGATACTTTCTGGTAGGGATTTTGAGTAAAGGGTCTTTGAGCAAGATGAGACTTTTCAACATTCTATTGGAAAGCAGTTTTTAAAATATTCTCTTTCCTCTTAGTCTCTCCATCAAACATACCCACAATTCCATTTGATATAAAACGTAGTACACTGAAACCAACTGGTGCCAAGAAAAATATGAAGAGACAGCTGCAAGTTAGTGCAGGGAAGCATGCTAATTTTGAAGTATTCCTGGTGTAAAGTAGAAATTGGGGTTTTAGTAAATCACTTAGAATGATTTACAAATAAATATAGTAAGAGTTTTTAAAACGTATACAATGACATCAATTAGAATCAATGCACTAAATAATGACCTTTAAAAAAGGTACAGTTGTAGAAGAAAAAAGACTTAGCTGTCAAATGAAATTTGACTCAATTTTTACTAAAGAAGGTGCTGTACATTTTTAGGAATTTGGACAGGTGGGAGGTTGCTGAGAAAACTAGCATGAAACAAATTAGCTTACTAGTTAATATTGCATATTCAAGAAGGTTTTAGCCCTCCATGGCAAAATCAGTTGAAGTTAAAGTTAAGAGATCATCTGTATATTCCAGACTCTTGAATGGTCACATTTTAACAGCCATCTGAGACATAAATCAGTCCTCTGACGTGTTGTGGTGCTGTAATCTGGAACTATAACACCTTTTGGCATGGCAAATTAGGACACAAAATGCTATTACTAGTTATTCAGTTCAATTTTGGTATAACTTAGTACATATAAGGCATGGGAATTTCTTGAGTGACATGTATGAGTTTATAATTTATTTTTTATAGTTTGAAAAACAGGAAAATATTCCCCTCCACACACACACAAATGTTTATATAACCAGACTGCCACCAGAGTGCCACCTAGTGAAGTTTAGATTGTAGTTTTGGTTCTATGATACCTGATGATGGCGAACAAATTTAGATAACTAGTAATTAACTTATAAACCAGATAAGTGTGATGAAAGTAATTGTATAGAAATCAAGACAAGAGTCATATTTTTCCTACTAGTACCAAAAAAAAGTTGAAATGTTAGAGTTGGTTAAAAGTTACTATTTTGCTTAATGATATTCAGTGCCTAGTATGATACTCTTTGGCCTTTGTTTTTTCTTTTTCCAGGTTCTTAGCAGAATACCATGATGACTTCTTCCCAGAGTCAGCTTATGTTGCTGCCTGTGAGGCACACTACAGCACCAAGAACCCCAGGGCCATTTATTAAAGTTTTGATAGTTCTGTAAGAACACTTGCTCTGCCTGGCTTTGCGCTCTGGGCTCCAGGTGAAGAAATAATGGGCTGGTGGACCTTCTTTCCAGAGAGTACAAACATAGGCCCACCTCGGGGGCTGTGGCAGAGGCAGGCTCAGTTATTTATTTGAGTTATCCACATACTGTAGTTATTTCTGTTAAGAATTATTTCCTTGGTGCCTGAACATGCTCAGACGTAACACTTGCTGAACCTGAAGCCATCTGTGATGGCAGGAAAAGAACAGCTGTGTTCGTAGCAAAACATTCATGAAACATAGGTTAGGCCATTTTGTTAGACATTACAGTTGGTTGTTAGCAGAAACCACACTGTTTAGTTATTTGTTAGCACTAAACAAAATTTTTTCGAACTGTTCTCATTTGTGTGAGGAGGCTGAGCAACTCTGCCCAACAAATTTTAGTTTGTACTTGGAAACCACAAAGTAGTCTCAAAGTATTTTAGAGGGAATTGATATTGACGGCAAAAGAAAATTTGTAGCTATACATTTGCTTGTAAGAGTTCCCTCTCTGTGAAAAATTATTTTTGGTGCGCTAAATAAAGCATTGCCTGTCTTGTTTGAGATTTTACAGCTCTACTTTGTTGTGTAATGTTATAGTTCCTTTTCTATAAAATGTTATTTTTGGTGATCTAAATAAAGCAGTACCTGTCTTGTTTGAAAGAACCAAAGAAGAGTTTCTGTTCTGGCCTTTTCTCTTTATTGCAGGGCAACAGTGGGGTGAGCTCTTTACTTGTAACTTTTGTTTCAGTTTGTTTTACTTTCTGTCTTTGGCTTTGCCTCACTTGGCAGCACGACTAGGTGGTGGTTATTAGAAGTTACTGTGGCTCTGTGCTGTCTTGCTGCTGCACAGTGAGCCCTGCTGGGGCTGACACTAGTTTATCCTCCTCCAAAATTACCAGCTTCTGGTCTCTGCAGTCATCCCTCTAAGCTTCATTTTAGTCTCACAGGCCTCCCAATTCCCCCCACCCCACACACACACATACACACACGCTGGATATTTTTGAAAGTTCTAAATCAGTAAAAAGGGTACAAGTACGATAAAGAATGTAGCACTTGGCTTTTTTTATAGCTCAGCTCTGTTGACCTTAACTTCCAAAGACTATTTGTCATGAACAACAAGGGCTACAAGGATTTTTTAATTTATAAATGGTTCCTCCAAGCCAGGTGTACTGGTACACACCTGTAATCTCAACTGCTACAGAGGTAGAGGCAGGATGATCACAAGTTCAAAGCCAGCTCTAGTGAGGCGTTAGTGAGCCACTATCTCAAAAAAGACTGTGTGGATAGCTTAAGTGGTAGAGTACTTGCCTAGCAAGCATGAGACCTGGCTTCAGTCCCCAGTATGGCCCCAAGAAAGGCTCCATCAAAGTGACCTGTGCATGCACTGAACAGTAGAAATCTGTACCTTCAAATCACCAGCGTAGACATCCTCTTCTGTGTACTTGTGCTAAATTAGACTCGGGTTTATGAGGACTAATCTGGAGTAACATTCAGTTTGCGGAAGGTTTTGTCTCCGTTTGGCTTATGCAATGCCTGCTTAAAGCTAGTGTACCTGCAGTGCTCTGACCTGTCTTTAAAAAAAAACAAAAACATTTAATTGGTAATTACTCATAGCCTGGGAAAGAAAAAAAATTTCCCTTATAAGAACCTACTTGTTTAAATGTCCCTAATGAAATGAGCACAGAAGGTTTCTCAAAACATTTATACAGTTAAGAGTTTACAATTAAATGATTTTCTAATAATGAAAAAATTTTCTTCCCCCAAGACATTTCTTAATTATAATTTTACTTAAAGTTTGATTATATGCAGCTTAGGTTGATTGAAACAATAACTTCTCTTCAAAATATCCATCCCTCTATTACTAGTAATTCAAATCATTCCTTGATAAAAATACTTGCCTAGATAATCCTTACAAAAATTACAAATTATCTTCCTTTCATTAATTTTTACATAATTTCTTTCTTAAATGGCCAAACCTTGCCATTATTAAGTGTCACATTGTGCCCATATTTTCCATAATAGTTACTTATTTTTTATTTTTTTATTTTTGGTTCAAATTCAGGGCCTTGCTCTTGCTAGGTAAGTGCTCTACCACTTGAGCCATGCCTCCAGGATTTGTATCAGATCTTTGTAAGAGGTCTTGACAAAAACCTGAGATTAAAAACAACAACAACAACAAAAAACCCCACATTTGAACAGAGATAGAAGGGAAGCAATGGCTATTGATGGGCAAATATCCAAGTGTTTACATGTGGTTAAATGGGGTGCTATGTAGTTCAGACTCACCAGACCTGCACTTCGAAGGAGCTTCCAGGACTGCTGAACTGCTGGTCCTCTGCCCACACCCTGAACAGGGAGGCAATTGGGTATAGAGAAGACAGGAAGAAGTGAAATTCAGATGTAGATGGCCTTTTGTGCATATTTTCTGCATACTATTTCTTTTGTTCTCAGGACAACTGCATAAGGAAGATACTATCTCTTACATAAATCAAGACATTTGAATTCAGATTAGTTACAAGCCAAGAGAGAAATCAAACTGAGGTGGGTCCTGATTCTAAAGCTTGTTTCCCCTCATTTCTTTCCAAGTCGAGGCAAGACCACAGGCAGGTTTGATGTGTCAGAGGGTAGAGGGAAGAACAGGGGAAAGTTTGGAATCATTTTCTGCAGTGTTTTTACTTTCTCCACCTTCCCTCTGTGTCCCCCAGGATTCTCGCTGTTTTAAACTGCCATCTGGCTGGCCATGTGCTTGATTCTGGTCTTATAGGAATAGACCTTTCTTAGTTTAAGGCTTTATCGTTTTTTATAGCTAGATCAAAGCTGGGGTATAACTTTTTATAAGTCTGAAATTCAATTGCAAAAGAAGAAATATATAAAGTTTGTCCAAGATTCAATTACATTTTTTACCAATCATATTTTCAAGAGTTTTATAAATGTTTGACTTCCTAGAAATTTTAACAAAATGTCTCTTTTTTTGGCATCCAAATCCTTTGTTGCATGGAGTATAATAACTTTAAAATAGAGTAAGTTGCTCAATGGACAGGCTTATCATAGGTACATTCAAGAGTCGTGGGTAATAGATGTCTCCAGTCCAGCAGAAGTAACTCAATCCACTATCATGAAATGCATTCCAGGAATTGGTCTGCTCTTAGTTCCTGATTTCTGAGGACGAAGGTGATCTATCTTAATAGACACAACTGTAGGATCTTGCATTTTTATCATCAAATTACTTCATTCTTTTTATTAGCCTTACTGAGGTTAGCAGTTATCAAATTGCATAGTTGACAGGACATAAGCTGACACTGTGATACAAGTAAAAAAGGTTAATAAACAGATGTTAGTGACAGCAAAAATAAAATGCATTGTTAAGAATGATGCAAACCAGAACTAGTTCATCTTTACAAGTCTTCGCATTTTTTAATTTCTTTGCAACATCAATCTTCATCCTTCCAGAAGGTCCTAAAAATCTTAGGTAGCTCAACTGCATTTTTCTATTGATTTGTGCTTTTCCCACTTAGATTTACAACTTTCAGTGGAATGATTTAATAAGTCATTGTGGAGATATGCTTTGGCTTAAGGTAAATTGCACCAGCCCATAGGCTGTATTTACTACTCAGGCCTTCACTATTGTAAAGGTGACTTCTCAGACAATTTCAAGTCTCTAGCCTCCATTAGTTGTCCATTCATATTCAAAAAATCATTTTGGGCAAGATGATTTGTGAGCTGCATGGAAATACACCTATTGGTGTCAAAGGATAAATGCTGTTTAAATGTGCTTGGGCAGTACATAAAAGAAAATCTGAAAACCAAAACCAAAAAATAAAATACATAAATAAAAAGCCCACTCTATTGGAGGGAAAGCTTAGTAAGATTTTCTTTTGATATGTGATATTTCATCTTATCTTTTATATTCTATAATATGTAAGTTTAACCAATCAGAGCATTGAAACTGTTGAGTTGCTGGTTCATAAAAAGCCATGCTGTGGCAGATAGATTGAAAACTGTTTCTAAATCTTTACACTTTCACCACCCCACAAGCCTCACTCCCTTCCTTAACTTTTGAAATGCGAGTTTGAAGTTCTTCTAATAAGGAAGTAGTGTCTAGTTTCCTTAAATTTTATCTGCCTTTGTCAATTTCTTTTGCTAAAAAAAGTATGGCAGAAGTGACTCACTCCATTATCTCTCTTGGAACCTTGCTGAGATGTGAGCAAATATGGGTTAACTGCTGGGTGAGAAGAGCCACATGGCCTGGTTATTCTCATCACTCCAGTCAACAACCAGCTGACTGGCCAACAAGTGAGAGAATCCATTTTTAGATCAGTCATACTCCAGCCTATCTACCAGGCCATAAAAGATGCATATATGAGTCAGCGAAGATCAGCCAAGGCTAGCCCAGTATAGCAGAACAATTCAGGTGACCATATATTTATGATCAATAATAAATGAATTTGGGTGTAGCCTGTTATGCAACAATAATTAACATCACACTGTGCCTTTTGTGGTACGTATGTTTCATACCCTGCCTGTGGAACAGTTCAGACTTCATTGCCTTGACTGAAATTGCTGAAATTTTTGTACGTTCAGAAGCCATTAGATATTCAAGGGAACATATGCTTGTCATTGCTACTGCTAAGGTAACAAGGAAGAAAATGGATAGAGACAGAACTAAATCTTTGCATCTTGTAGCTAGAATCAGGGGGCAAGAAATTTAAAATTTGCAGAAAACTAGTGTGCTAGCTTTCTCATCACTGTGACAAATGTGTGTCACACATTTAAACAACTTAAAATGAAGAAAGATGGCTTCAGATGTTTCAGTCTATCATGGTGGGGAGGGCATGCTGGAAGAGAGCAGCTCACATCATGATAGCCAGTACATGTGGTAAAGGCTTCTCTCTCACGGCAGAAAGGAGTTAGAAGAGGAAGGAACCAGGGCACCAGGTACAATCTTCAAAGGCACAGCCCCAGTGACCTACTTCCTCCAGCTAGGCTCTACCTCCTAGAACCTCCCAAAATAGCATCACCAGCTAGGGACCAAGCATTCAACACATGAGCCTGTAGGGGACATTTCATATTCAAACAGGAAGGAGAATAGAAAATACATTTTTTGGCATAAGATGTACAGGTTATTCACTTTGCAATGTTTGTTTCCAGCCACTGATTGAAAAAAAAATTTATATGTAGCAAAAATTTCTTTTAACCATTATCTGGGCCTCAACCCTCTGTCGTTCTTCCAGAGGTCATAAGAGACTGAGTCTGTGTATTGTGGACTCATAGTGCACCTGAAACTTCTCACTCTTTTACTCACCATGGTATTTTTGACATGTACATAGAGTTATATTTATATAGACATACATCTATATGTAGACATATATGTCCATGGTAGATACATAAATGCATAAACACACATCTTTACATACACATGGATTTAGTTTATACCAGTTCTTTTGACTGTTGTATGATAATCTATCACATGGATGGATTTAATACCCTGTATTAATTCCTTTACCATCGTTGGACATTCAGATGGCTTCTTTTACTAATAGAGCTGCAGTGACCAGCACTTGTAGATAGTTCCTTGCATTCAAATGCCTGTCTTTATCTAGGTTACATACCCAAAATTCAGGATGGACAGACAAATGCTTTTTTGGATTTTCTAGG